TAAAAACAAAGTCTGATTTCTCGGATTTTTCAAAGCCAGAAGGCTGTTTGACATGCACTTCTTCTGAAATATAATCATTTAGAAATGCACTCTTAACATCCATCTGATAAAGGATGATATTATGATTTACAGAAAAGGAAACCTAAAAATTAATTAATTTTAATTAACAAAATAATTGATTAATTAAATTAATTAAAAAAGGTTAATGATAAAAAACCTAAAACCTAATTATTTTTAGGGTTTACAAAAAAACAATTATTTTAGGTTTGTAGAAAAAAAAGTTTGTGGTTTTGTGCTTAGGTGAATTTAGGGTTTAAAGGAAAGAAATAGGGAAAAAGAACAAGTTAGAAGCAAAATCACACAAAATTTCAGGGATGGGTGTTAAATCCACGCCCTTAGCCTTTATCACTGTCTGCCTTGCCACTGCACCAGGGCTCACATATTATGCATCAAACATGTTCTAATGATATATATGAATACATGCAAACATATCAAATTAGTTAACAATGCATAAATTCAAAGGTTTGAATTAAAAAAAAAAATCAAAACCGGTGAGGATGAACGTGATGTTCTGGGCATGATCTTGACTTCTTGAGGATTGGGATGGATTTCTGGGTACTTCGAGATGATAATACAATGCTTAGTTTCAATTGAGAAGGGCTGGAAACAAGGGGTTTGTGTTTCCCTAGTTTCTTGATTATTTGGAAGTTTTTTAATAGTTTTATCTGTAAGGGTTTTCGTGTGATGTTATGTCTGAATGAGGAGCAATATATAGAGAAGAATTAGGTTAAACCATTATGGGCTTGGACCTATTAAGAAAAGTCTTGACTTTATCTTATTTAATTTTGAATTTAAATAAATAAAATAAAAAATAAATGGAATAAAAATCAAAGGGGGTATATGAATAGGTTCAGAGGTCCACTATGAGGCCTAATACACGTTTGGACCTTGAAACACAAGCCCATTGGCCCAAAAATTTGAGTTTGATCAATTTGGGTTTCATGCTTTTTTTCCGAAATTTCCTAACTCGTGCCAATCATAACTCTCTCAATTTTTATCATATGAAGGTGATCTTAGACTTTTTGGAAAGCTCAAGATATCCCCTACAATCTCTATGTTGATGATTTTTTCATTTGAAGAATTTATTTTGATGTAAGTTGCCTTGACAAAAAGTATCTTTTTGTTAACTTTTGGAATGACCTATAATGTTTTGGCCCATATCTCTCAAATGAAGCATTTCTTGGACTTGAGCTTAGAGAGACAAAGTTGTAGAGAATTGAATTTCCTTCGAAAATAGCTTTGGTTGAGAAAAATCTGATGAAGCATGTGAAAGTTATGCTTGATCAAAGTTCAGCTGACTTTTCCTTAAGAAAACCCTAATTTGTCAACTTTTGATTTTTGATGATTTGAGAGTTTTTCTTGATGAATCATGATAAACCCTTGATCAAATGATGAATATGACTTCAAAATGTTGATGTTGACCAAAAATATTGAAGTTTGACTATGTGATGACCATAGTTGACTTTTTGTTCAATACAATTGATTTTTAGTCATTTGAGCAATTGACTGAGCAAACTTGTGATGCAAGGCATGAAATTTGGTATGAGCATTCTTGGAGACCTATAAGAAACCATGAAAACCACTTAAGACCTTAGAAATCCAATATTCCTTGAGAAAAGTGAAACCTTAGTTGTAAGTCCATTGCTTATGAGGAGAATTTGTCTGATCAATTCTTGAGCAACCTTGAGCATTTGAGAAACCTAGGAGAATGTCATGAAGAAAAAGGGATGGAAAATTTTGGGGTACAATGCAGTGACTTAAGAATGTGAAAGTTGTGAACAACGCTTGCGTGTGAATCTTCAGTGAATTGGAAGCTTTCTCTCTTAGTCTTCAAGCCTTTATATAGCCAATAAATTAATATATTCGTTGAAGGATACTCTTGGGATTTTCAGAAATATTGGCAGCTTGAATAGTAACGTGGGGGACAAGATCGTGCGATGCGTCCGTCCTTTCATGGCAGTGGAATGAAACGTTGATTATTCCATGTACTATTTGTACCACGTTAACGTTATCTTCTTTCCTCCCGCACTTCAGAGGCTTCTGTGAGTATGAGTTTAGAAGAGAGAATATAACATCAGGTCATCAAGTCTTCAGAGTCTTCAGAATTGCGTCTTCAGAGTCTTCAGAACTGTGTCTTTAGAGTCTTCAAAACTGCATCTTCAGAGTCTTCAGTACTTGCTTGTGAGAACCTTTTCTTGGAACCTTGGATCTTTAGAACTTCAAGTCTTTAGAATCTTTAGAACTTTTGTCTTTAGAGTCTTCAACACTTGGTCTTCAGAACCCTTATATTTAGAACCTTGTTATTAGAAACACAAGTCTTCAGCATCTGGACTTTAGTAGAAACATTATCTTTAGATCTTCTAACTCTTTCTTTGAAACACGTTGTCTTTAGAAGCTTGAGTCTTTAGCATCTGGACGTAAGTAGAAACTTCTGTCTTCATATCTTGTAACTGTTTTCTTTAGACAAATATCAGGGCTTACACTTCAGAGCCTTCTGGAGTGTCTTGCTACTGTTCAACAGAACTTGTGCAGCATAGAAGCAGAATCAATTATCTTCTAATATATTGGCCACACGCCATCCATCAGAAGAATAACCCGTTTGTTAAGTACTCAACAATAACAAACATTATAGTATCAAAATTATTCATACAAACATACTCATTTGTTATCATTAAAACTTAGAGATAATATTACAGAACCAAGTCTTATTCTTACATACCTTGTTCGTAGTCTTCCACATAGTCACTACCAAGATAATATGGAAAGAAGAACATCATTCTTTTTACTAGAATTTGTCAGTACCAATGAAAACAACCCTAATCTTGCATGAACTCTGAAAATTTTTACCCAATCTTTAAGAATGATTATTTTCAAGATGGTGCCTCCATAAATAAATTAAAATATCTCATTATCAAGTTCCGAAATCAAAATGGAGGTTGAAGAAACAAGAAGTTCGATTGCAAGAGTTTTGAACTTTTCAAAAGTGAGAGAGTGTTGATTTCACATAAAATCACAATGTTGATTATCAAATTCTTACATGAAAGTTGGACGTAGCTAGGAAGAAGACAACGATACTTATGACCCCTCGAAGCATTATTTTGAGAGAGACTGTTATGAGGATGGCTCCGATTACACTTCGACTAGCACTTGTAGTGGGTTATGTAGAGTTGAAGTGGGTGAATATTTTGGTTGTCGTTAGGTTTCAGTCAACTTAGATAGGGAGTAGAGTACATAGGTAGTAGGAGTGTTTTGGTATAAGATGGTGGGCTCCATGTGAGTTTTACTATGCATATCAGAAGTTTTCTCCTTGGGGCAGCTCTCTTGCGCGAGTGTCTGCCGAGGATCCCTACTATGGAAAACACTATTCACAATGGTTGATAAATTTATATAATGATGATAGTACGTCCATTGTTAGGTAGCGTGTGATTGTAATTATGTTGTTATCTACCACGAGCGTGTGACTGTGGTGATAAACTAGATAGTGTGTTACCTATCACAACCGTTATCTTAACCAACCGTTGTGATTGATATATATATATATATATATATATATATATATATATATATATATATATATATATATATATATATATATATATATATATATATATATATATATATATATATATATATATATATATATATATATATATATATATATATATATATATATATATATATATATATATCGTAAATTTAAGAAAAATATTAAAACAACTTATGTAACTTTCTAAAGATAAAGATAATATATTTGTTCTTGAAAAATATTTTTGGATAATCTTCTTGAAGCGAATAAGGCGAGACCGCAAATGTACGGTAATTTAGAGATTGTTGGTTTGTTTGTATTTTCATGTGCTATCATTCAGTTGTCCTTTCCTCCACGGGAGACTCCCTTTTTATGTTTTATTTCAGGTCTTGCATTCATTGTCTTGCATTCATTGAACAGTGATACTCTAAGTCCAACAATCAAGAGGAGTTTCTAACGCCCGTCGTCACAATCATGAGGGTGTAACGCTTCTTGCACCAATTTTCATAACTCTCATGCAACCTTTGGACTATCGTAACCGTCGTATCGATTTGGTACTTCAGTCTTTCGATTGTGCTATCACTCATCATATCTAACTCGTGTATACCGCCCGAACACCAACTCGTCTGCCAATTTCATTTAGCACTCTTGTCATATCCGATTTACAACCCATTCTTAAGAATTTTAGGATGTATACTATCATGGCCAATCATGTAGGTATGCAAAATGTGCCACCGCAAGGGCCTCACATCAGGGGGCCTTAAATTTTTAATATAATAAATATTTTATTATATAAATAATTTTTTAATATTTATTTTATTATTATAATTTTTAATATTATTTACAATTTATATAAAATTTTAATTTTGTATTTTAATTTTTGATTTTTTTTATTAGAACTCAGTATTAAAGATTAGATGAGAATTTCAAAATTGTTTGGACGGACCTATATGCTATTAAAAATAGACATATTAGTTATTTTCGACGGCAAGAGCTACATTGGACTATAACAATGAATTCAATTCATTTAAATACATCCGTTATTTATGAACGCGGACAAATATGAGATCGCCTCGGTCGGTGACACATTTAAATTAAATCAATAAAAAAAACGTCAAAATGAAAGATACACATACATGTATCACTATAATTGATTATTTTTATTCAATGTTTTTCCATCCACATTTGAATTTCAATTTTAATGCGTAACATAACACCAGTAGTAGGACCCACTATTGTGCACGAAAACAATTATCAGCGACAATGCTCAAAACGGAACACAAGCATTTCTCCTTCCACCTTCTTCTTCCCGTTTCTCCAATGCTCCTCATCTAGGGTTTCTCTTTTTCCCCTTTTGCTTCCACTTCCTGGTAGATAGATCTTATTGTTTTTGTGCTATTATTCGTCTTGCTTAATGGGTTCATTATCTGGTACTGGTGAAATAGTTGAAGTAGGAGAGGATCCAAGTGTAGGGATTTACCAGTCGAATTCTCAGTTTAAAGCATCTGAGAAAAATAAGAAGCCTTTGGTAGTGAATTTGGGATACAAGGATAATATATATGATGATATTAACAAGCTGTTTGAGTCAATTGCTCTTAAATCTTCTTCACCAAGGGATTTGAGTTTTTCACAAGATGGTACGAGTACGAGTACATTGAAACAGCCTATGACATTGGGTGTTCCTCGCTCGCCGCGAGTTGGAGCTTCTGAGGCTGTTAATTTGAAGCAGGCTTTGAGAGATCTTTGTATATCTAAGGCGTCAGAAGTGGCTGCCATGAAACGGTTATCGAAATCAACAGCTTCTCCCAGAGTTTCGGAGGTTCGGAGGATACAAACATTGTACACTTCAGTTGTGGATGAACCGGGTTATTCTGGGCCTTATGTTGCTGAGGGTAAAGTTGGGTTTCACTCGCAGCGTGTTGTACCTGTTCAACCAGAAAAACAAACCTTCGCATCTTCTCCGTCTACTTGTGTGTCAAATACTGGACAGAACGGCAGCACAATTAACAAGCCGCCACACCGTGCTCCTCGCACACTCAAAATGGTCATCAAGAACAAGAATGTGAGCAAGAAGAAAGTGAAGGAAGATTCAAATTCTGCATTATGTGATCCTGCATCAAATGAATTTAGTAAGTCTGTTCCTGCCACAGCTCGGCTGGTTTGTGAAAGATGTAGGTGTGCTTTGGAAAATACAATGGAAGATGTAATTATGGCCTTGGATTCTACTAGTCCTGGAACTGGAGTGAAATCGAGTAATCTGCACTCTGGTTTAAATAAACCAGGTTTGGCATCAACTAGTGGTAATATAAGCAAAGCAGTTGCCAAGGTGGAGAAGATTCAGAAGAGCACCAAGTTGAAAGAGCAGCATGATTTTTCACAGAGCTCGAAGAGTAGTCAAGGGGAGTACAGTAGTAGTACTAGTACCAGTGACGACAGCAACATGAGTGGCTCAAGTTGCGGCACTAGGCCTCACATGTCAAAGGATGTTAGATGGGAAGCCATTCGACACGCTCAAGTGCAGCAAGGAGTCTTGGGCTTGAAACATTTCAATCTTTTGAAGAAACTTGGTTGTGGAGACATTGGGACTGTATATCTTGCTGAACTAATTGGCACAAGTTGCTTGTTTGCTATTAAGGTCATGGACATTGAATTTTTGGCAAGAAGGAAGAAAATGCCCAGGGCTCAAACTGAAAGAGAAATCTTAAGGATGCTGGACCATCCATTTCTTCCCACATTGTATGTGCAATTCACATCAGATAATCTCTCATGTTTAGTCATGGAGTATTGTCCAGGTGGAGATCTTCACGTTCTACGGCAGAAGCAGCTTGGTAGATGTTTTTCGGAACTAGCAGCAAGGTAGAAAACTAAGTAGTATTCAGTAATATATTAGATTTGTACTTTCTGTGTAGTCTGAAATAATATGCAATCTTCTTCCTGTTAAATTTGAGTGGCGCACCAAATTATATGGTGGCTTAGTAATTTCCTAATACACACTAATATTTTATTAATTCACATAACTATTCTTGCTGAATATGCTTGTACTCATTCTCATCTTGTATCACATATATCTGTTTTTTATCCAATGCATTCAAGTGGTTTTTGGCATGTTTCATCTGTATAGTATGTGCTTAAATGCTTAACTTTATTGATATGGTTCTGAGTCATAGGCTGTTAAATTGATTAAGAATACTTCTGTGCTATTGCAACTTGTTCTGCTCGAAGAATCTAAATAAAATCAGCAGTTTGTTTCACTTTTTATTGTTCTTCATGGTTACCTAGGAATTATCCATTATTTGTTGTTAGAAATTTTGTTCCTTCTTTAAAATTTAGAGTTAGAATAGTTAGATAAGAAACTCTCCCAGAGACCTATGCTTACTGGTAGACTGTTAGCAATTGGTTGTGGAATGCATGTTGTATATTTCCTTTTCCCATGATTCAGCCAGGAGTGTAGTTTTCCCCTCTGTATTTACCTACAAAATCACCATCCACTTACTGCCACCGTTCCTTGTATATTTCTTAAATCCAGCAGTATTCTCCCTTAGTCTTTTGTGTAATAATTTACTTGTGCACTTTGTTGTGGATATGAATTTTCTGTTTCTGAAGCTTCCATGCATGTATCATGCAGGTTTTATGTTGCTGAAGTCCTCCTTGCTTTGGAGTACCTGCACATGCTTGGAGTTGTTTACCGTGATCTGAAACCTGAAAACATTCTTGTTCGAGAAGACGGCCATATTATGCTCACTGATTTTGATCTGTCATTGAGGTGTGCTGTTAGCCCAACACTTCTGAAGTCGTCTTCTGATGTTGACCCTGCAAAAGTTTCTGGTCTTACTGCACAATCAAGTTGCATTGAACCATTATGCATTGAACCATCTTGTCAAGTTTCATGCTTCAGCCCTAGATTCCTACCTGCTGCTGCAAAAGCAAGGAAATTAAAAGTTAATCATGTTGCCCATGTCAGATCACTGCCGCAGCTTGTGGCCGAGCCCATTGATGCCAGATCAAACTCATTTGTTGGTACACACGAATACTTGGCGCCTGAGATCATCAAAGAAGAGGGACACGGAGCTGCAGTTGACTGGTGGACATTTGGTGTTTTTCTTTATGAGCTTTTATATGGTAGAACACCATTTAAAGGTTATAACAATGAAGAAACATTAGCAAATGTGGTGTCGCAAAGTCTTAGATTCCCCGATGACCCACTTGTCAGTTTTGAAGCTAAGGATCTGATTAGAGGGTTGTTAGTTAAAGAGCCTGAAAACCGTTTGGGTTCAGAGAGAGGGGCTGCTGAGATTAAAAAACATCCCTTCTTTGAGGGTCTTAACTGGGCCTTAATACGTTGCGCTACCCCACCAGAACTTCCAGAGTTTTGTGATTTTGGAGTTTTTGACACGGCCTCTCAAGGCAAGGGTGCTAAGTATTTAGAGTATAATGTAGGAGAGCACGTGGAGTTCGAGCTGTTTTAAAGATACTGCTTGCTCTTGAGAGTGACATTTCTGTTTATGGCTCCATGATCCTTATTTGGAGATGTAACTTCTATGTAAGCCTATTAGCAAATTAGTGTTGATTATATCACTTTCAATGTAACATGTAGAAACTAGGAAGTTAAGGTCTACAGCAACTTTTAAGTTATTAAGAGCAAATATTGAGAATAAAAAAAATTCTATTTGCTCATGTCCTGAGGACAGAACAAGATATTGGCCATATAGATGAATGATGCAAATGCTTACTCAAATTTAACTCATTTTTTAAGCTCAACCCCCATTTAGTGGGATAAAGTATGGTTGTTGTTGTAGGTTGTAATTTGGAGTGTTTATGGTGGGATAGTGTTGTTGCAATGGTGATTGGGAATGGTTATGGAGGAGTGTAGTGTTTAGGTGGAGAGTGATTGTGTTTTAGAGTGGTGGCTGGTCCATTGATGGTGTTGGTTGGGATTGGTATTCGTGTTTACTGTTTTCTACCACAGGATGTGACTCAGGTGAGTGCACATGGCACTGATTTGTTTTATTAGGAGTGGTTGTTTTGTGATGGAGGAGTGTATTTGCATCTTGATAGAGAAAGGGGCACCTATGGTCAGTGCAACAAAAAGTAATTTAGTATTTTAGTAGTAATGCTTTTAGACCCTCAATTCTTTTAATTGTCGCTCCATTTCTGTAGACTTAAAATGCTCTGCCTATTTTTAGATGCATCTTTATTATCAGTTGTCTTATACTAGTCAACTCACGATTGAGAGTATTTTGTGTCTCATTTTCGTTTCAAGCCAATGCTAGAACACCTTCATTCACTTAATTTCAAGCACATTTTAAAATTTGAATATAACTTTCATTTGTGCACACTAATAATCATAGTTATCATCTTTGAATATTGTAGGGAATTGTCTAGTTTTTCTAAAGCACTTACAAAATTAATTAATCAAAAGAAAGGAATAATCTAGTGGGAAAAAATATATTGTGAATTGGGAGAAAGGAGAAGAATTGCACACTTAGATGTAATGAGAATCAAAGTTGTTTATCGAGCAATTGAATGCACAATCATGGAATGATTAGTTACTTATATAGAAAGTTACTTAGCCAACTCCTAGCAACGATAATAAACTTAACAAACTTTTAAACTAACAAAATAGGTTACTTAATATACAAGCAACAACATGTCGGTGATTCATATATTGTATCCTTATATTTCAACTCGGACAAGATCGCGAGATTTCGTCAAAATACTAGATTCTCAAGTGCAGGGAATAAAGAGGATGTAATCTTGGAACCCTATTAGATTTCCTATTTAGAAATAGAATGAGCTAACATCACTAATTTTGGTGTTTTATCTACTCCTTTTTTTTACTTGCACCTCTCCGACTTTCATGAATTGGGAGTCTTGATACCTTTTGCGCCATTTGAGACGGACTTTCTGGAAACTGCTAAGGCCGCCCCCTCCCAAATCACATCCAACGTCTGGGACATCATTAGGGCCTTTGATATTATATGTTGCCACCTGGGCCTCCTCCCCACAGTTTGAGTATTTTTTTTATAGTGTAGAGGTCCTCCCGTCAGCGATTGGATAACTCTGAGTTTTTTTTCCTGCTAGGGGATTATTAGAGTCCTTATGAGGATTAGAAAGATAGATTTATGCGAGTTAGAGGGTGAGACGGTGCTTCTATGGTGATCATAGAGGCAACAAACACCACTTACTTTTCTCTATCATGGACAAAGAATCCTTAACTTATTAAGAGAATAGACTCTAACATCCTTTCTCCCCTTGAGTGAGACGTGAATGAGGTGTTGAGTTGCTTCTTGACTATGAGTTCACGTACTTTAATCACCTTGGATCAAGGATATAAGACGAGACAGAGAAGTATCTTTATAAGTTTTATGGTTTGTTGGGAGTCTTCTTTGTTGGGTAAGAATATAAACTAGAAATGGCCTAAAGGAGGGTGAATAGACCTCCCAAGTTAAAAAACCGTTTGAAAAATATTTTTATCAGAGTTTTAAAAAAATTCATATTTTGCATGGTGGAAGCAAATTAAGCGTAAAAGGGATTATGCTTATCGATTGGAAGTTATGCGAATATACTTATACAGATCACAATGCAATCATGATGGACAATATAATTTCACCAAAATGAACAAATTAATCGTATTGCAAAATCGTTCAATTACACAAGAAGTGTTATAGAATGATTTTCAATCACACACAAGATTATACAATCAAGGCTTTTAGCTCAGTTCACACTAAAACAAAGTTGAATTGTCAATTCTAACAAAACCTACCACTTATGCAATAAATATCTACCAATAAAAAGTCCTATCATCATGCAAGTCTAGAAAGCAATAAAAACAATCTAATCATGCAATCAACTACGAAATTAAATATGTGTGAGAGAGAGAAAAGAGTACATTGGGATCAGATGTTTTATCTTCTTCTTAAGCTGGTAGCAGTCTTTTGTGTGGTGTCCTTTTAACATTTTAGAACTTGCACCATCTACCAGGCTCAAGCCTTATTACCTTTTTCTTTTGGAGCTAAGGGCGTAAAGATATCGTTCAAGTGGATAACCTTGTGCAATATCTGCTTGCAACGAGTGTTCAGGGGGTGTGAAGTTGTCCACAGTTATTCCACATCGCTTAAACATCGTCTTGCCTCTAACAGATGAGGTGTAGTTGTTATTCTGTGGGTGTTGTGAGCCTTCAGCATTATAATCATTTTTTTCACATTGTTGTACCCTAATTTTTGACCTAAGATTCCACTTTTTGTTGAATCATTTGCATAATATTAAAAGATCATATCATTCATATTTGCATCCACTAACCTTGTGAGAATGCAAAGATATGTTTTGTTTGTTGCTTGTGCAAGGTAGGCTAGAGAATTCAACAATTGGTTGATAAAATGATATGTCTTCCTCAGAGATTCAAGCCCATCATTAATGGTGATCAAGTAATCCCCATCTTCACCACAACTTCATCATATTAGTTTTTCTTTGGATTAATCAAGTGGATTGGGGTTTTGGTGCCTCGGATGAAAATCAAGAATTAGGGTTTTGAAGGTTGATATCCAATGTATATAACTCAAGGGGTCTTCAATATCATCATTTCACAGTCTTCTAGATACCCCAATATGTTGAAGATTTCTTTATGATCACAAGAGTTCATTGAAATTGGAATATTTGAATTCATCTGGAAAAATCAATTACTCAAAGTCAAACTTTAACTTTTGAGATTTTTAGTCAAATATGGACTTCTCAAGTCAAATTCCATGAAAATGTGATTAATAGGTGAATTTGGTCAAGTGAAATCAAGAAATTTGAGATTACTTGCAAAAGGGGGGTAATATTGAAGAAGTTGAAAATTCACTAAGTGTCAAAATTCTCATGTTCAAGTGCACTACTTTGTAAGCTTGTAACTTCTTCATCAAACCATAATTTTTCATGTCCAAAAGATCAAATTGAAGATAATATTTCATACTACAACTTTGTAACTGGGTGTCGTACCCCAAATTTGTCCTACCTCGATAATTTTAGAAATATTCAATTAAAGATGGTACAACAGTATCTGATGGTCCGTCTTTATCCGACTAGGGGGGTGTACCTTAAATTCAGGAAAGCGAGGCTTTCTAAATCAGAAAGACTCGCATATCTGTGAATCCATTCGCGTGGCATGTTGGCCAATGGTCCATGCGATTCGAAAATGGAAAATTATTTCAAAAGAATAATAATTATTAAGTCCTTAATTTGTTAATCCATTTAAGAATTGTTGTTGGTAATAAAAACAAGAGGTTGAATTTACAATATGCGAGCCAATTGCGTTTGGCCCATTTCTATTTTTTGTTGATAGAAAAAGAGGGGTATTGGTATTTAAAGTCCATCAAAGTTCCTGACATTCTTATTTGAACAATTGTTTGATTGTTTTTTAATATAAGGCCCAATAATGGTTTTTTTGTTGTTTTTAAGAGAGGGGTGTGCTTATCAAGTTAACTAAACCCATTAAGTCTTATTTTTATTTAAGAAGAAAAACTATTTATAAATAATATATATATTTTTGAAGAAAAACTAAATGTTTTTTTCGGTAGGATTGATTGTTAATTTTGTTTGTTTTGGGAAAATCCATATTGGACCGGTTAAATAAAAAAGAACTGTTTTTTTTTGTAAAATAAAAACGGTGCTTAATCAAAATCAGTACAAAGCCCAATTAAATTAAAAAAACTGGTTTTTTTGCTGTAATGAAGGAAAAATAGAATGGGCTGAATACAAAAAAAATAATAACGCAAGCCTAGTTCCAAAGTTAACGCGGAGCCCAATTGAATCAAGAACACACACTGTTCCAATCACAACCAAAATTCACGTTGCTTTTTTTTACTAACGTATACTGTAGAAATTGAAAAAAAACATATCAAATCTGGAAAATCATAATTCAATCCAATATTTCTGCAACCAAATCCAGAATTTATATATTACAGAAATCAAATCTTACAAATGAAAATCCAAAAATTACAGAAGAAATCAATTACAATCAATCAACGAAGAACTAAATCCCTAATTTCTATCTAAATCTCCCTAAATCTAAGTAACTGTAATAAAAAACCCTAAATAAAAATCCTATAAATACTAACAAAAAAACTAACAGTAAAAGGGGGGGGGGGGGAGGGGGGAGGCTGGAAATACAGAGAAGGAGAGACAGAAATAGAAAAGGGGCGAAGAACTTAAGGGTGAAAGACGAAAGACGGTTATCGATTTGATTGAAGAGACGAAAAGGGGACAATTAGTGTTTCAATATCTGAAACCCTAATTGTCGTTGATAAGCCTCACCATCTACCACCATTACCTTGCAGGGACCTGCAGATTGAGGAGAAAGGAGGGATTAGCAACAATCAACCAAAAGCTTGAAGTAAGAATACGAGAATACGAAAGGGGTAAAATAACTTAGCTTTCGTTTTTGTTCTAATACTGATTTGGGGTTGTTCGGTTTGGGCGATAAGGTTAG